TTGAAGGACATGTCCTGGTCAAACATGACTCCAAGGTTCCTCACAGTGTTACTGGAGGCCACACCTTGGGCTTATCTGTACCTGCTGGTTTCTCTTTGTGGGGTTTGACTGTAGAGCAGCTGTTACATAATGATCTATGAAAAGTCTGATTTGTGTGCAGTGCTCCTCCTGATGCTTTTGGCCTGAATAAGGTAAAAAGTGAAACAGGAAACACATTAACCTTTGTTGTTATTGCTGACTTTTGACCCTGTGCCCAGTCGTGGGGCTCTGTGCAGGATGGCGCCTCGTGTCCACACGTCCGGTCCTTCCTGTCCTCGGTGGATCAGTTTGTCAGTAATCTGAGCTCAGCCCGACTGAACATGGAGAGAAAGTTCCAGCTGCAGCACGTGGAGCTTCCTGACGCCATCAGCCAGCTGAGCAGCCCTGCAGACTACAGAGCAGCAGGTATGAAGCTCAAGCTGTTCACATCTCACACAAACAATAAGACTGTTGGAAATACAGGAAACATCGTTTAAAGGTTTAAAAATCAACTCTCAGGTAAATCAAACCAGTTTATCTGTGGAAGCTGAAGGAAGCATCTGACCTGAGACGATGGCTTCTTTGTAATAATGAGTCCGTGTTCACGTGTGTTTAGAGGAACTCGTGTGTTTCACTCTCAGCCAATAACAGTGAGCTGGTGGAGTGTCTGGAGGAGGTGTTGACCCTGTGGACGAATCAAAACAAGCAGGTGCTGACGGAGAGCAAGCAGATGAGAAAAGAAGCCGACGACATCGGGCCGTCGGTCGAGCTGGAGCACTGGAAGAGCCGCACGGTGACCTTCAACAGGTAGACGTGTCCTCTCAGCTGGATCTCCTGTAGCGTCAGCATTTACAGGTTTCACTTTAAACTCAGTTTATCAAACATGATCTGACGTCTGTGGACAGAAGCTCCTCAGACCTGGAACAGTTTAGTCTCCACTCTGAGACTTCAGGACAAAACCACTTTTACACAATATAACTTTCTGTTATTTCTCTTTCTGCTCTTTAAAGTTGAAATGTTCCAAAATATTCATGTGTTTGTTTGTATAATAGTTTTTAACCCTTTCATGCATGAATTATGACGACATCAATCAGGATTCTTTCTTTAGTATTTTTATTCATCTTTAGGGATGCAAAAAGATTTTTGAACTTCATTTTCTTAAACATGTATTTTTCCATCTTGGTTTGAAGAAATGTTTTGCGCACTTACACTGGCTGACCAGTAGGTGGCAGGTATGGAGCGACACATCAGAGTCCAGTATAGGGTTTATGTGCAAGTACGACATCAATACTGACACGAATACAAGCAAACAGCCTTTGAACAG